CCCCCTTCCACCCTTCCTTGACATAAACACACCAGTGTCTGAAACATTGCAGAACGATATAGCGAAGCCCCCGCCCAAAGTGGTCTTAGGTTTTGCCTCTCGCTCACGTGTGCTTGAGGACTCCACACATGTCTTCCCAGAGGTCCGGAACAACCAGCCTTACGTAACTGACTCTGTTCCAGACGTCCGCGTCACCGCGGAACGTTCCACACCAGAATATTGACCCACACCCATGTCATCTTTTTGTTTTGGACCCTGAGATGTTTTGTGTGTCTTGTGTTACATGTTTGACGACTCATGAGGCTTCCTTGGTCAGTATTTCTTTTTCGAGCCTTGAACGGGGAAGAGGGTATGTGTCTGTGAGTGTGTGCGTGTGTGTGTGTTCTGCTTTTGCGTGACGGTAGACCTCCTTGCAGTTGTAACCCTTGTTGCCACTTGGCTCAAGGACCCTTCTTTTCATGTGTCATAGTACCCACTCAGATACAACACAAGAGAAAGAGCCGCCTTGCTGAGTGTTCCCAACTGGTAGGATTCAGCTATACCAAGAAGGAGAACCAGCGTGTTCAAGTATTCCTCAACATCCTTTATTCCGGCACGCCTCTGTATTTGGACGCGGCCTATGTGTACTGTTATTGCTTAAAGGCCCCTAGTCCAGAATTGTAGTAGCGGAGCAGGTTTTTGCAGAAAGCGGACAAAGTCGTCAGAGGGAGAGACAGTTTCGGAAGTCCTATGCCGCCGGCAGACAGATAGAACATGCAGTGGAGACGGTCAATCCATCAATGACAGCCAAGTTGTCACTATTGTTTGGCGGATGTTATAGCTGGTTTCGATGCGAGGAGCTTGTTTGATGACTGGTTAGCTGTCGCATCGGTGACAGATGCAGCCAAGTATGGCCCCTTCTCAAAAGCGGGCAAAGTGGAGACACACTCATGTGCCACGAATTGCTGCTCAAGCGCTTTGCAGAAGGAGTCAGTCAACGACTTCAAGAACGCACTCAGGAAGTTCTTCTTCTCAAGGGAAACACAATCGTGTGTGTCTACCGACTCCTCAGTGTCTGCAATCGTCGGAGAAGAAACAATGAGTTCCTCACACTCATTACCAAATCCGAGATTCCATTCGGAGGTTGACGGCAGTGTGGAAAGATCTGATGCGCAGAGATTACCCGCAAACAGCTCAGCTCCACCAACCCGTGCATGGTGCCAACGCCAAAAAGCAACCGCTGCGGCATTCAGCCACAGCTGGAGCGCCGCCCAAAGCAGAGCCGCACGATCCAGGAATGCTGCGGGTATGAGTATATATGTGTTTATTGAAGGACGCACAACGTCGCCGGGGGCTCTTCATCGCCACAAGGACAAGTGTTTCTACATTCTTGAACTCGGATACTAGAAGAAGACGGCTACTGGGTAGAAGATGAAGAAGGAAATGACGGCTTCGGCGAGGGCGAGGACGAAGAGACATTTCGGATCTTCGAGGACCGACGATTGCAGCCAGAGAGGTGTCAGGGCAGAGGTTAAAGGCCAACCGCTGACCCTTCACAAGGGTCGAGCGGCGTGCGCGAAGGTCAACACGGACCCCGTGCGCTGAGTGAAGCGCGGGAAGAGGCTGGCCCAGCGGCAGCTTACGCAGAGGACCCTACAGAGACAACAAAGCAAAGCTGGCGACGAGGCAAATGGCGGCCGTGATCGGCTCGCGGCGACAGAGCTTGACCTACGCGACCCTTCAACCACCGTTTTACGCCAGGGAAGGCGCTATTCGCTGTCCAGCCAGCCCGGATCAGACCAGCAGGGAATGCGCAGCAAAGACGGTTGATGCACAACAAGGCAAAGATCCAGGCAATATGAGAGTATTCACGGAACAGAGTAAAATACTTTAGTAGAAGATGGGATAAACGGTGAAAAACACTGTTAACACAAGTAAACTTTCGCAACATAAATTCTTTAAATTAGAGAGATTTTTCGTTACATGCTACATGATAAAAGAATATCTAAAATACTTGCAGGCTTAAACTCTTCATAAAATAGTCGGATGACTTCGTGCACTCTCACATTCAACTACACATGCGTTTACTGGGTAGTTTTCACTGCGGCCGCGAACAGCGACTGCGCGCTGGGCTCGCACCGAGTGCGCCGAATACGCGCAGAGTGCGCCGTGCGCGCACCGAGTGTGCCGAGCGCGCCGGGCACGCCGAGCGCGCGCCGAGCGCGCGCAGTGCGCGCCGAGTGCGCGAAGTACACACCGAGTGCACCGAGCACGCGCCGAGTGCGCCGAGTGCACCGAGTGCTCGCCGAGTACGCGCCGAGCATGCCGAGCGCGCGCAGAGTGCGCCGAGTGCGCCGAGCACGCTCCGAGTGTACGTGCCTCGTGGCACGCGCCGAGCGCCCAGCACGCGCCGACTGCGCCCTAGCGCGTACCGAGCGCACGCAGTACGCACCATGCGCGCAACCAGCGCACACGCCAAACACTACACCGCAAACCCGAACCACACCATATCTCAGCAACGCGCAAAGAAAACATCAGAGAAGCGCAACAAGAAGCGCCGCGCAAAGTCACGTCTGTGGAAGCGGTCTCCCACCAAACCTTTCACAAGCATCTAAACTAGGTTTTTTACTTGTCCGGTTTGTTTCATCACAGGCATTCTGCAAGAAGTTGGTTATTTGCTTCAATTTTCTTACAGGTTGTTTGTGTCATTCCTCCTCTGAAAGAACCCTTCTTCCACCATTTCGTACTAAGTCTATTTCAACACCAGTTAGTTTCAACATGGCCCCAAAAGCGAAGATAGGTAACATGTAATTACACACTGGGTCTCAACCAGAATCTTTCACATATGCATCTCTAAAGTTTTCAATGATTGAAACATGTCGGTCAACAATAAAACATCGGTTCTCAATACGCATCGTGATAACCCCATGTTCAAAGGAAAAAGCTTCCATATCAACTTAGCTCTGTCACAGTCTTCATCGGGTTTTACCAACCTGGCTCAACTCACTGAAAGACATTCTTTAGATGCTAAATGTTCATCTTCAATATCTTTTCACTTGAGTTGACAACACAGAAAAGTCAAAGCATGTTTCAGTTTTGATAACACCATTTTTACTACTAGAGCTAAAACTGTTCTGCCAGGTCTCGCGTAGCGCCCATTTACTTGTCTCTTGCATGTGTGTTGTCGCACAAGAAGAGGTTTATCTAATGAAGCAGTTATGAAACTAAAGCTAGCTTCAACACAGAAATTATCCAAACAAGTACTGATACTTTCCTCAATGTTCTGTGCTACCGCATCTGTTAGGTTTTCATTGCTCAACTTCTCAGCGAACATTCTGAGCAAGACAAGCTATGTTGAGATACTCTTGGCAAGAGTTTAAAGCGCGCGTGCGACGAGCGCAGCCCCTGTACTTGCCTGACGCGTGCGCGGCGCTCAGTGGCGCACCTGCGGCGCGTGCCGCGCCCAGCGTGCCCGACGTGTGCACGGCGCACCCGATCTGGAAGTCACGTTTTCCCGTCGCACTGGCTTTTTGAAGCAATGTGTATGTTATTTCTCCTCTTGAACTAAGTAAGTTGCACCATGGATGCCAGCCGGCCTGATGATCTGCTGATGATGATGATGATGATGATGATGATGATGACGAAGACCATAATTTTTCCAGCAGTTCGAGGGTGTACGAGAACGATAGCGACGGTGATGGTGTGATTGTGATGATGATGACGACAACGATGACTTTGATCAGAGATGGTGACGAGAACGCATCTGCAGGCCTTCCCGTGGCCCTGTCTCTCTTTTTGCCCAGCCCGCCCACGCTTTGCAGCTAGTGGATTCAGCGTGGCCTTCCTTGGCCCCATTTCCCGTGTTCGCCCCTTTTCTTGCTCCTAACACCCCTGCGCAGCTTCAGGATGATCCTCAATGTGTCGAGTCAGCTGCAGGAGGACGCAGTGAACGACCTGCTGGTTGCCCTGGAAGTATTTGAGATGTGTGGCCGAAAGTCCAAGCTTGACATGGGCGTTTCGAAAGGGCTTACGTTCCTCATCAGGGACTGGGCTCACACGCCCGCAGATGGCATGGTGCGTGCCCAGGACTGGCCAGATGTTTGACGTCCAGGTGCCATAGGATGTGTGTTTTTGGTGTTTGCTCATATGATTTAAAGCGTGTGGTAGCACACGTGGATCCTTGCCTGGATGTTGTCTGTAGGCGTGTCTTGTAAAGCCTGACACGCGTGGATGTATGTGGGCTTTGGGCCCTTGGGTCCTCCTGTGGAAAGAACCAAGCTCGCGCTGCGTAGTGATTGCCATTCAATCGCGGTAGCGAGGCTACGCTCTAGGAGTACCACCTGAGAGCAACCCTGCACAGCTTCATGATTGCCTGGCAACGATCCGAATGCATCTTGTCCTACTAGCGCAGGAAGAGACGGTGGAGAGTTCGCAGAGAACCCAGCCTGTCTGTGAGTAAGGCGGAGCTGATGCTGAAACTCTCCCACTTCATGGAGTCAACCCTGGCAGGGAATCGCATCAAAGGATGTGCGCTCAGGAAATGCATCCGTCCCTGCTGCAACTTGTGGTTCTCCTCCACGCGAAGCTGGCGCCCGTCGCGGTCAACAAGAAACCGTTGCCGGAGAAGCAGACAGGGCTGCCTACACGTTCCAAGCATTTCCCCTTCAAAATCGCAACCCTCCCTGACCATGCTCTGCAAGCAGGACGTGCGGTGCAGCAAATCGGGGCGTCCCTGACGAGCCACCCAGAAAACCGACCCAATGATGGACCGCAGTTGTCGAAGTTCTTCCCCCGACGCGGCATGAGGCTTCCTTCCCTGTTTTTCAAAGTGTTGTCATCCATGTCAGTGCTGACGCCCATCTCGCCCTCACCGATTGCTGTTTCACCTGTTGGGAAGTTGGCGTGAAGGAAGTCATTGACATTCGTGGTGACGCCAGCACCTTGTTCACCGTTCATGGGCTGTACATAGACAGGGGAAGAGAGGGTTAGAAGCCAATCCTCCAAGATCCGTGGATCCTTGTCATCTTCATGATTCCCACAGCGTACCAAACCTCCATCTAGCTTGCAGTCCTCCCATTCAGCTGCCCTCCTCGTCGTCCCAATGTGCCCCCGGCAAAGATGGATGAACACGAGCTGCGAAATGTGAACATCATGAGCAAGGGGCTGCCAGGCATCGGAGTCTCCCCTCGAGCGAAGTAACAGTAATATGAAACGTCCAGGCACTCCGAAGAAAGATCCTGCATCTGCGCCCTCACATCCGGCCGAACCGGCTCAGCTCCGCTCCTGGGAAACCATAAGCTGGAAGCTTCGGCTGTGGTTGAACCCGTCTGGGAGGTGGGCAAGATGGCTTTCTCACTAGCAAAAGACACGGCCCTAGAGGAGGAGGAGGCGACTGGTGTAGTGTCAAACAGGATCGAACACCACCCTCATCGCCAACTCTACAGCTTTCGTGCGAAGAGGCTGATTAGCTGATTGACGCCTGAAGCGCGACAGACATGTCTCACATGACATGGGCGTCGCTCAGAGCCCGCGCAGATGGCTTTGTAGAGGTTAGCTGTAGACATGTGCCGCATGTTGAATGCATGTTTTAAAGCAACTATCGCAGCATGTGGCAAGAGTTAGCGCGACAACACCAGTAGCAGGTTGAGTGTGAATGTGTGGTTGTACACGTGGCTCCTTGCCTGGATGTTACCAGGAGGCGTGTCGTGTAGAGCCTGACATGGATCTTTGTGGGCCTTGCGGATGAAGGAGCCCTGAAAAGAACCAAGCTTGCGCGCGTAGCGATGGCCATTCCTTTCTGGTTTTTTCTGCGTTGGTTTCTGGGAGGAGGACTACATCCTGCAGACCTTTGCGAGTGGCAACCGCCTCAGCCGCTTCTTCAGCGACGTGAGCTGCCGGGTGTTGCCGCACCCGGGGCAAGCCATCGACGCCCCGGGCTGGGAGGGTGACAGCGCCCAGCTGTCCAGGGAGTTCGTGGCCAGGTGACTTGCGGGCAAGGGTTTTGTGGTTCCGCATTGGTTTTTCGTACAAGATAGGCTTCGCCGTGTCTTAGGTCAAAGTGCAGTCGCTGTTCTGTTGATGTTGCCGTTGTTGTTGTGATTGTTGCTGTGGCGTTCTTCTTGTTCCTTCCGTCATGCTGTTCCCCCGCGCCAATAGTCACAGCTGGTTAACCTACGCAGATCTTTTCAGCCCAAACTTGCTCGCAGCCCAATCAGCTTCAACGAGCCTCATTGATTTTCAATAAGCCATATTTCTTTTCAGGACAGCTCAGCTAATTTGCCTACTCAAATCTCTCCAAATCACACTCAAATCGATTCAGTTTTGGCAGGGTTTCAAGACGCAAAGAATTTGGTTGAGCTGCTTGGTTCAACATGGAGCTCTGAAAAGCGCTAGATCTTCGATCCCTTTCTGTGGATGGGGGCCTGGATGTGGAGGTGTTCGTGGCTGCAACTGACCACAACCCTGACGGGCAACCAGCGCCACCGGGCCACAAGTCCAAGCTAAAAATCAGAAGCTGCCACTGTACCCACTACGTGGTTTTTTGCCTACATGGAAACATGCCTTGCTTGCAAATCGCAAGAGACCGATGCACATGCCCGCCATGAATGAAGAAAACGGATTCGCTGAGGCAGTCGGCAGTTTGGGCAGATTGGGGAACTAGGTGGCCGAGTCATCCTGAATTTTTCAGGCTGGAGGTGGGAGGCTGGAGGAGAAGGAGGTAGGTGAATCGCCGGGGAAAAGCCAGTGTGAGAGGTCGCAAGCGGTCCAGACAGGGCAGCGCCCACGCCTGCCAAGTTTTAAGAACTCCCGCTCAGCGTTGCACGCCCGCGCCAAGCGGTAAGTGCACCGCGCGCCCGCTTGCCTGCCGAATGGTAAGCGCTCCCATTCACGTGCGCCCGCTCAGGCACTGACCCATGCCTGCCAAATCATACGCGCGCTGTCTCCGCCCACTCAGCAAGTTTTAAGTCACCTCCCTGCAGTGCTGAGCAGGTGCGCGGGAGCGGACGCGTTGCCCATTTAACCAGCGTGCGTGAAGCGCACGTGAGCGGGTGTGCGCTTGCCAAGCGCGCCCACGCACCTGCTTGCAAAAGCAGGTGGCGTGCCACGCTTGAGAATCACCATAGTGCTTGTTCGTGCGTTCATTCGTTCGTTGCTTGGTTGGTTGGTTGGTTGGTTGGTTGGCAGGTTGCCTGCTTGTTTGCTTGCCTTGCCTTGCTTGCTTGATTGGTTGGTTGGTTGGTTGTTTGGTTGGTGAGTTTGTTGTTTACTTTAGTTTTGTTTGCTTGTTTTGCGTGTTGGCTGATTGTGTTTTCACGGTTGCTTGTTGCTGGTGGCATGTTGCTTGTTACGTGTGTGTTGTTTGTGGGTTGTTGGCGGTTGGCTGTTGCCTGCCGGCTGTGGGTTTGTCGGCGTCGTCGTCGGCGGCGTGGTTGTTGTTGTTGTCGGCGGCGGCGGTCGTGGTGGTGGTGATTGTGGCGGCGGTGGTTGCGGCGGCCCCGAGTCTTTTTTCCTAGGTGCGGCGCGGCCGTTTTGCCTGTCTCCCAGTCCGTCGGTTGCCCAACTGGTCCAGTTGGTCGGTCGGCCGGTCTCTCAGTCAGTCGGCCCGGTCGGTCGGTCGGTCAGTCGGCGGATTGGTTGGTGGGTTGGTCGGTCGGTCAGTCGGCCCCTAAACCGCCCCGAAGCCCAAACCAGCCCTAAACCAACCCTAAGCCGCCCTACCTTGCACCAACACGAGACCAACTTAACTTGAACCAGCCCTAAACCGCCAAACCCTGAATCAACCCAACCCGGTCCCAAGCCAACCCAAAGTAGCCTTAAACCACCCTAGGCCAACCCTAAACCAGCCCTACAAAAGCCAACCCGAAAGCAACACAAAACCAACCCTAAGCCAACTATAAACTAGCCTTAAACCAGCCCTAAACCACCCCTGCACCAACCCTAAACCAAACCCCAAACCAACCACCTTATAAACCAGCCCTAAACCAGGCCTGCAACCATCAAGAACCCGAACCAACCAACCCTAGACCAACATTACTCCAACCCCAAACCACCCCTCAATCAACCCTAATCCAACTTGAAACCAGCCTGAATGAACCCGAAACCAGCCCTAAACCAACCTAACCAAGGTCTGCCCCACATCAACCCAAACCAATGAAGTAACCACCAATCCCAAACCAGCCCTAAACCAACCCCCAAACCACCCTAAACTAACAGTGAACCTTCTGCGAACTTTGCTGCGTTCTGGAAACCCGCTTCTTCGAAAAGGTAAGCCCTTGCAGCTTTTCTGCGTCTGGACCCTAGGAAAAAACCGCGCCGAACCTAGGCAAAAAATAACCCTTCCGCCGGTGGCGGTGGCATTGGCGTTGGCCTTGGTGGTGGTGGTGGTGGTGGTGGTAGTTGTTGCCGCTGTTGCCGTTGCTGTTGTTGTTGTGATTGTTGCGCTAGCGCTTACTGTTGCGGTTGCTGTTCTATTTATTGTTTTCTGTGCTTGTTGCTTGTTGTTGTCTCGATGTTGCCTGGGAAGGAAGAATTGCATAGCTCGCGTGCTTACACAAGGCGCGCTTTGTGGCCGTCCTGTTTTGTTCCGTTGGCAAACTGAAGTCACAGGTGCGAAGAGGTCTTCCGTGACCTCGCCAGAAGCGAAACCTTCAGCACGGACAGCTTCGCCGCTCGCCTCGAGCGCTGGGTGGCGGCTCTGAACAGCGCAAGCTGCAAAGCGGAGTACCACAGAACCTTTGCGGAGGCGCAAAGCCAGGCTGGGGGCAAAGGCAAGCCGGCGCGCGTTTCAGAGTCGCTTTCGCAGCAAACGAGACAGGAAATCAAGCAACAAGAAGCTTTTGACAAGTGTTGTGTCTGGAAGTAGACACCGCGCATCTTGGACTTGAGGCCTGGTGTCGTGGTTGCCTTTGTTCCCTGCCTTCACAGTCCCTAGACACGCTGTTTGCAGCAAAGTGCAACCTTTGCAGCTTGAATAGGCGCAACTCAGGTCAGCAGCCAGGAGGCGATGGAGGAAGCCCGCGCCGTGTACAAGGCGCAAATGCGCGAGCTGGGGGCGATGCTGGGTCAGGGCGAAGCCTTGGACGCTGCGAAGACGCTTCTCGTGGACGAGGACAGTTGGTTGTTAGTAGGAGCTGAAAGGGCAAACAATGGCACTGAGGCACGGGCTGAGGGCTGTGAGAGCTACTTGCAAGTCGAGGTTTAGAAGTGTCAAAAGCCTCGCCTGAGCATTGTGCTTTAGCCGCCTGCCTTCTTTGAGGGAGACGACTGTCACCTATTCTGGAAGCTTGCAACTCGGCGTCAAGCGGCGTTTGGCTCGCTGTTCTGTGCGCTTCGAGGACTTGGTGGAAGCCCACCAGATTGCCTGCAGGGCGGCGCACCAGGAGCTGTGGAGGAAGGCGCTCTTTGCGGATGAGGGCGCTCGACGGCTCCTGGCCCAGCAGCTGCAGGAGTGCGAGCTCAGGTTTTTCAGCCTGGAGCTGGAAATATGTGCGCCGTTGGCCACTTTCTAATCGACGTGAAGTTTGTGATTTTGCTCATCCTCCCGACCAGTGTGGAGTTTTTTGGTTGAGATGGCCAAGTTCCCCTTCACCGAAGCCTCACATGGAACCGTCTCAAGCTGCCAACAATTCTGCAAAAGTACCACGCGCCCGGCCCACACGCCAAGACGCTCCCCTGAACTCTCCCTGGACGTGAGGAGCCGCTGGCCGTGGCGTTGCCAGAGCTCCAAGCGGCAAATCAGCGCGCCAACCAGCGGCGCTTCAATAGCCTGGCCCCGGCGGCGCTGGCGGCCGCAGCGGTGCCTCCGTGGCATTGGACGGTGCCAGGCAGTTTGATAGCCTGGCGCCGACTGTGGCCGAGCGCCAATTCGATTTTTTCGGACGGGTTTTCGAAGTAACAAAATCCATCGGACAAGTGCAAAAAAAGCACAAACAGAAGCGCAAGTAAGTGCACAAAAGCAGCACCGCGCAACTACAATTGGAAGCGCCAAGCAACAATTGGGGCATTCTTCATCACGGAAAACCACAAATAGGAGCACAGAGAAAGTTCCGCGAAGTCACAATTGCAAGCACAAAGTACGAAGAAACATAGAGACAAAGAAACGCAAACACAAAGACACACGGAAACACCACATCTACAACCAAACAAGCAAACAAAGACAACAAGACACAACGAAGCATACAAACAAAGAAGCAAACAAATAACAAAACAAAGAATCACAACAATCAGCAAGCAAACACAGACGCAAAGAAACAACAAACCACACAAACGAACAAACGGACGAACAAGCAAACAAACAAAGCAAAGGAAACACAAAGACACACACACAAACACACAGTCAAGCAAAACGAAAGGCAAATAAACACGCAAACAAATAAGCAAGCAACGAAACAGTGAAACAAAGAAACATCCAAACAAACAGGCCAACAAAGACCACAACACATGCAAGCACACCAGCCAAAAAACAAACAGCAGCAAAATCCCAAGCAGGTCAAGCCACCGTGAGGGGCCTGAGAGTGGTGATAGACAAAGAAAGGCCTGACAGAGCAAGATTGACTGGGAGGGGGCGTTTTGGGCAACAGCGTGGCCAAGGCCAACAGAGAGAGAGAGGAGCGAGGGAAATGAACCCTGTGGCAGTGTTCGACAGGAAACAATGTACAGTTGGCGGGCGTCCTGCGCGGATCCCACAGTAAGCTTTCCTTTGGGATTTCTTGTGAAGCCCATGTGCATTCGAACTTATGTACGCCGCTCGAGGTGTTCGCCCTCATTCCGCCAGCCGCGCCCAGCGTGGCAGCAGTCGTGCTGCCTGCCTTTGGGCGCCTTGGCAGGCGCAGGGCATTGGTCAAGCAGGCGCAAGACTGGCCCAAAGTGTCAAAAACAAAGTGCGCCGGAAATGGTTCGAGGCTTGTGGTGTATTACGCGCCCTGATGCTTGGATAACCAATTGGGCTGTCAATCCTTTGCGATGGTAAAGAGCACTGGATACTATCGGTGGCGAATGCTCATTCGCATTCTCCCCGCACTCAGAACTTGACTGCAAATCTTGTTTCCGGCACGCTGCCTAACGGTTTCTTCAGATCGCATCGTATGATTTCTGTGATCCGGCGCCCCATTGGAATTTAACATCAAGATGACACGGTGCAAGTTCTTTCGGGGAAGTGATGCTGCAACTTTCCCGTAGCTTACCCCGCGCCCTTGTAGCACTGTGAGCAATCTTTAAACCTCTGTTTTTTGGAGCTCTTTTGGCTTCTGAATCTACTTGCTCGCACTCTTTGAACACAAAAGAGAGAGCCATCCATGTGCCCGACCCAGAGCTCGGGCATTGAGCTTGAAGTGGTTTGGTTTGACGACAGGCCGTTGGGACTCTTGCAGACTGCAGATTTCATCCTCTGCCTGAGAATGGTGCCATGCATATCCATGTGTCCTTTCACAGTACGGTGACTATGGCAACGGCGCCCAGGCTTCAAATCCTGCGCTTCACAAACGCCGGTGGCGCCGCCTTGCTGCATAAGGACAGCTTGCCTCACGCAGGCAGCGTTTTATGTGCCTGAGGACTACGTGGCCAATTCTGCAACTTGGCTGCATTTTCCCCAAACGGTGGCAGTGAGTGATTGCTGGACTTGCTGCGCGGCGGTTGTCTCCCGTTGTGCTCACTGGTGAGCAGATACCTTTTCTCATGAGCTGCCGCTTGGACAGGCTTCCTTGCCATTTCCAAAGAAAGGTTTTGACAAATTCATGCAGACCACGCAAGCAACCGCCACGCAACCTCTCTACACCCTCCAGCAAACCCGACTTTCCTTAAACCAAGCCTCAACCAATGCCAGACTAACCTAATACCACCAACTGTAAGCCACAAAATATGATAAGTCTAGGCCTTTTGCATCAACCCGCAACTGGACAAGCAAACCAACCCTTGACCAGACGTAACCGCCCCCACCCCCAACTGCTTTACAAGGGGGCGCCCGCCAGTTTTCAATCAGGGGCGGGGAACCCCGGACCCATCCACGGCCCTTTCAGGCGGGGGAGGCGGCAGGCTACCATCCTCCCGCATGTTCATCTGGTGCCCACTACATGTGACTGTTTGCCCCAAAGCCAAAAAGGCAGAAAACCCTGCAAATACTTGAGCTATTGAGAAACGAGGATTCCTTTCCAAAGACGAACTGTGCTTGGAGAGGTTGTTTCAAATGAGACTTTCAAGTTCGTCTTTTGAGTTCTTTTTGGAAATAATCCTAGTAGAAGGACCGCGTGTCCAAAAAACATTTGTAATTGGAATGCTTATTTCAAATTAAACGTGGTCTCCTTTTCTCTTTTTGATTTTGTTGATGAAATAATCCTAGTAGGGCTTGCAGCCGAAAGAGAAAAACAGGCTGCTCAGATTTCAAACCGCGTACTTGTTGGTCTATCTCAGTCGATTTTAATACGGAAATACTTCTGGTAGAGTTTCCAGTCCTAACGAGAAGTTCGATAGGCTGGTTTTAAAAGTAAGCTTCTATTTGACACTCTTTTCCCGAAAGCATTGCGAAGGGCTCTTCCGTGCGGAGCTCTTGGTCAACTTGCGCAGAGTAGCTTGCACAGAGTCGCCAGCAAGAAGATATCAGGAGCTCTTGGTCAACTTGCGCAAAGTAGCTTGCACAGAGTCACCAGCATGGAGATACCAGCGTGGAGATACTAGCACAGAGTAGCTTGCACAGAGTTACCAGCATGGAGATACTTGCGCAGAGTCACCAGCATGGAGATATCAGCATGGAGATACTTGCGCAGAGTCACCAGCATGGAGATACCAGCATGGAGATACTTGCGCAGAGTTACCAGCACAGAGCAGCTTGCACAGAGTTAGCAGCATGGAGATACTTTCACAGAGTCACCAGCATGGAGATATCAGCATGGAGATACTTGCGCAGAGTCACCAGCATGGAGATACTTGCACAGAGTCACCAGCATGGAGATACCAGCACGGAGATACTTGCGCAGAGTTACTAGCACAGAGTAGCTTGCACAGAGTTACCAGCATGGAGATACTTGCGCGGAGTCACCAGCATGGAGATATCAGCACGGAGATACTTGCGCAGAGTCACCAGCATGGACATACTTGCGCAGAGTCACCAGCATGGAGTCACTAGCATAGGGAGTTACTTGCGCAGAGCCGAGTGCAAAGAGCCAAGCGCATAGAGCCAAGTGCTCAGAGCGAAGTGCAAAGAGCGAGGTGCAAGGAGCCAAGTGCACAGAGCTAAGCGCACAGAGACAAGCGCAAAGAGCGAAGTGCATCGAGCCAGGTGCATAGAGCTAGGTGCATAGAGCTAAGCTAAGCTAGGTGTAGAGGCTCGGCGTTAGCAGCTGTGTAAGCTAGGTTAAGTAAGTTAGGTAAAGTACTTAACGCGCGGGAAAGAAAGGGAAAGAGCTCGGTATTAAGAATCTCTTTTAACGCGGGGGGTGGGGATGTTGCCGACGATCGGGAATGCGACCCTCTGCGGAGATCGTGCGCGTCGAAGCGCTCTCGCTGTGGTAGTCTCGGCGAACCCTCTGCGGAGATCGTGCGTGTCGAAGCGCTCTCGCTGTGGCGCCGTCCGATTTTGTTGCTCGCGAAATGGCCTTTGGAAGTTGTCTCGTGGTTTGCGCGCCTGCTTTCGCAATCCCGCGGTCGCGGTTCGATTCCCCCCTGGTCCGCGGCAGCTCCGGCTTGAAAATCGCAGCTTTTAAGTACAAACGTAGTACGCGGAGCGTGGTCCTGCAGCTCCGGCTGGAAAATCGCAACTTTTCAGTACAGACGTCGTAAGCGGAGCGTGCTCCCGCAGCTCCTGCTGGAAAATCGCAACTTTAAGTACGAACGTAGTACGCGGAGCACACTCCCGCAGCTCCGGCAGGAAAATCGCAACTTTTAAGTACACAAATAGCACGCGAAGTACATTCCCACAGCTCCGGCAGCACTTGCGCAGAGCAACTTGCGCAGAGTCACTTGCGCAGAGCAACTTGCGCAGAGCAACTTGCACAGAGCACTTGCACAAAGCCCTTGCGCAGAGCAACTTGCACAGACCAACTTGCACAGAGCACATGCGCAAAGCGCTTGCGCGGAGCAACTGGCGCAGAGCACTTGCGCAGAGCAACTTGCTCAGAGCACTTGCGCAGAGCAACTTGCACAGAGCACTTGCGCGCAGCAGCTTGCAGAGAGCAACTTGCGCGCAGCAGCCTGGAACAATGCAGCTTGCGCAGACCACTTTCGTGAGAAATCGCGCGGAGGGCCAACTTGCACAGAGCCAGGTGCGCAGAGCCACTCGCGAAAGTAGCTTGTGTAGAGCAAACTTTCACAGAGCCAAGCTGCGCAGAGCCATCTTGCACAGAGCTAAGTTGCGCGAGCGTGCTTTGCAGAAACTGTGGCCGTCGTGTAAGCTTTGCTATTGATTGCTTTTCCTTTTGCTTGTAATTCGTTTCGAGCTTTGCGAGCTTTAATCTTCTTGTTTTAACGGATGTAAATATGTGGGATCGAGCACTGCCATGTTTCCTCTCGTAGCACGATGATGGAGCTCTCATGTGACCATACACATTGAGCATCGCCGCGTGCAGACACGCTCGCCGCAGCGATGTAAAAAGGTGTCCCCGCGGCTGGATGAGCACCTGGGGAAAAATGCTTTCGGGCCAATCGTCCTCTAGTTTTCAATCTAGGTTGTAAAGGAGGTGCCTTGTCCATTGTATGGTTCAAGGAAGATTCGTAACTAAACGTCGTATTTGATATTAGAGTAAAACGGGCCATTAGCACGCAGACTTCCCAGTTTTGATGCGTGCGGTTGCCGCCGCCTGAGTTTGTCTGCAGGCGGCTCAGTGAACAGTTGCTTGAAGGGCTCCTAGAGAGCGGGCTCTCTCCTGTCGTAGGGCAATTCCTTCCCCAGCACAGGCTGGCAGTGGTCTCCATGGCTCTTCTTTAAGCGGGGGAACTGCTGGGGCAGGTTCCCGTGCAGGGTGCAGGACAGGACATCCTGCCATTGGCGGAGCATGTGTTTCCGCCGCCTCAACTGGTGCGCTTCTGCAGCACCAATGCTGCCAAGCAGTACAAGGCTTTCTGAGATTAGGGGTTGGTTTGGCGGGTTGGGATGACAAAGGGTGGCTGGCAAGCATGGACAGGTCCTTTCCCTCCTGTTGGCACGCAGGCTGCTGCTGGTGCGCGTGTTGAGGAGTGAGCAGGGTGTCGAAGCGCTGGTCAGTGTGCAGGGCCCAAAGATGCTGGAGACCTTGGGTATGCTTCATGAGGCACGGAACCATCCTTCAGGGTCGGTTTTTTTCCAGGTGCGCGCTCGGCCAAGGTTCGGCTGACTATGCTTGGAAGGGCTCCCTTTTCTCAAAGGAGAGACACCAACACCGCTTACACCTCCTTAACTGCTCAAACCGCTCAAACCGTGTAAGCCGTTTAAACCGCTTACACCCTTTCTCAAAGGAAAGGCCCCCCAAGGTTCAGGGCCTCAGAAACCACTGAAACCGCTCAATTGTTGTCACCTCCTCTCCCAAAAAAGAAAAACCACCGGGATTCAAACGGTTACGGTTCACGGCTTAAACGGTTTTGGGCCCAGACCTTTTCTCTGAGAAGGGCTAAAACGGGTTAAACAGTTTTGGCCTTTCCTTTGAGAAATGGTTTAACTGGTTTAAACGTTTCAATCGGTTTAAAGCCGAGACCTTTCCTCTGACAAACTGTTTAAACAGATCAAACGGTTGAGTTGGAGAAAGAAAAAGGCGGACATTTGGTAGTATTTGGTAGTGGTACCACACTGCCACCCCACAAATGTCCACCTTTTTTCAGAATTAAATGGATTTCGCCGCGGGTTCTGCAATCACTAACATCGTCGTAGCTCGCAAACCCTGGCCTCGCTCGACCAACGCCATCTTTGTTTTCTACCAGGGAGCAGAACTCCCTCTTCGCTCGCGCGGTGCGCATGTAGGAACTTGGAGCGGAGCGGCGCAACCTCTCCTACCTGCCTGCTCATCCGACCTGCCTGCTCACCGAATGGGGGCTGGGCGAACCGCCTTGGCACGACATGTTTGGCCAGGCTTGCCAATGATTGCCAGCAGACAGGAGTGGCAATTTGCATTTGGCAGCAGGCAAGGGCAGGAGGTCCAGGGCATTAGCCAACTGCACCGCACCCCCGACCCTCCATGACCTGCAACGGACCAGATCCCCGCCGACAACTGGCTTCATCGATAGGCAGCTTCAGCGCTGGTTTCGTCAGCTCAGACGACTGCCTCCGCAACATCCTGGCTGGTGCGCAACATCCGGCCGCCATTGAAGACCGGCTGTCGCGCAGCGTGCCGTTGAAGATGTGTCCCATCGCTCGAGATCACTACAAGGCGAACTACCGCGTGCGCCAACCTACGTCTGCAGCTCCGAGAATGTTCCAAGAAAGCCGTTCAAGCAGCCGAGGCAAGGACTTCTCCGCGATTGACTACTTCGTCAACAGCTCCTTCATGTTCAGTCCTAGTAGACGGCCGCGGTTGAAAAAGCTTGGGAGACGTATACCGACTGACATCCTGAAGGAAACCCAACGTTTCTGGCAGCCGACCAGAAACTACCAGACGGTCAATGGGACCGCGTCGCCAACTTTACCACAGCCTTTGCCCCGCAGCTCACCATCGCCTCTCTGGCTATCACTGCCGCGGGGTGCCGCCAACATCTGGAATTGTAGCAAGACTGCCGCAAGCTGGACAACAACTGCTACAAGGGTTCGCACACCTGTGCTGAAGCATAGCGAAGCTGAGGCCATCAACCGGCGCAGGCCCATAATAGCGCTTGCCCATGGCCTACCACACCTTCAAAGACGATGCCCCTGTCATCATGCCTATCGACCCATCATCTCCTCCAGTTATGTGTGGAGGTGCACTTGCTCGTTTCGTTTTCAGAAGCAACAGTTTGCGAAGGCTTCTTGTGTGAACCCTGTCAGCAACCCGCATTCCATGGAGCGCCGTGCCTTCATTGCCCTGCGCTGACATAGGTCCTGGACAAATGGCAACGTGCGAGGGCGCTTACTCAAGCACCTATTGACCGTAACGTGACACCGCCAGCTGACCTCTTCACGGACAGCTCCAGTCTTCATCTGGGAGACCTAGCTTTTGTTGCCCAGACCCAGCTCGTCTACATCCTCATGCTTGTGACCTCCTGCTCGTCCAGTCGCCAGGACCATGCCTTAAGGTCCAGGACTCGATGAAATCAGCAACCTTTGCTTGCCAAACAACGTCAATGTCAACTTGCTGCGGGATCTCGTGGGGGATTCTTGGATCAGCGCCCCGTCCAAATCAGTGGACTGACCAAGAGCAAGCGTACGTGATCGCTGCGCGTTGTGTTCTGGCTCCATTCTGTGAAGGGCTGCCAACAGGTTCACCTCGGCTTCAACATATGCCGCCCAGTGGAGTTGAACTCGCTTTAGCCCCTGCGACTTGGGGCAAGGTGGGTTCAACTTTGGGGTGCCGCAACGTTGAGCGCGCTGGGTCTCGCCTGGCCTTTTCTTCGGTAAACTGCGTTTGGATCACGGGCTCAGAGGGACTCACTCGCTGCAGCACTGCTTCCGCTGCGCTCAGTGACCGGTAGCTGTGCGCGTAACAGGGCGCCTTAAAAGATACATTTTGCCAATTTGAACATGGCCTTTTTCACCAAAATAAAGGGACGCCGCCATTTACAAGGCAATGTTCAGGTGTATAATGCAAGGATTCCTGTTGAACAGTTCGAACTTGGGCCTTGAACCTTGGAGGGGGCCTTTCCTCTGAAACGGTGCGCAGTGTTTAAAGCGGTTTGGCCTCTTTCCACATCTCCTGAAGGACAGGGGTAGGTCCAAACCGACTGAAGTTCCAATTGGGCCTGGGTTCAAGATTCCTGGGGAAAAGTTTGGGTTGGACCTGCGCCTTTTGTTGCTGCTTTTTCCCAGCTTAAAACGGCACAACGCATTGCAACAGTCTCCTTCTCTTCTTTTGAACTTGTGGAGGGAATACTCCTAGCAGGACTTCCAGTTTAAGGAGAACTTAAGTATGTTGTGCTTTTCACCGCAATCTGTAGTCAAAAGAAATCAGTTTGTAAGCCGCGTTCTATGTACATGTTTGTCAGTCTAAACCGGTTTTGACACATAAATAGTTCTAGCATAGTTGCCAGTTTTAACAATAATTTAGATAGGCTTGGTGTAAAAGAAGGTTTCTATTTGGCTTTCTTATTTCAATTTTATACGGGGCCCCTTTTTCTATCTTTGTGTGTTTCAGTTTTCTATCAGGGCTGAAATGGAGTTTATTAACCACATAGTCCTGGTAGGATCTCTAGTTTAAGGAGAATCAAAATAGGGTTTCCTTCTCAACCAAGCTTGTCATTTACAATCGTATTTGGAAGTAGGTTTCGCAACAGCTTCTATCTTCATGTGTTGATCAGAGCTTAAATAGAATGCGAGAATGTAAATAAGCCTTCTTACAGAGAATGTGTTTCCAATCCCTTGTAGAAATTTGACCTTAAAAGGTGGTCTCTTTTCCAGGACTGGTTTTTTCAGTGGTCTAATTGGAATTTAGATAGAGATTAACAGCAGTGGAATAACCTAAAAGAGTTTCTAGTTTTAAACATGATGTAAACAGGATTTCTTTTTGGAAGGATATGTTTGATTGTGACTCTTACTTCGAATTAGAATTTAACGTGGCCGTTCTTTCCCAGGATGTTTTTCCAGTTTCTATTTGGAATTTTTCTAGGGCTTAATATGGCGCCTTTTTTAGCTACTTTCCCAGCGCGCAAAAAAGGAAGAAACCGTCACACAATTGAACTCTGAAAGCGGTGGGCGAATGGGGGGAGGGAGCATATGCGTATTATACTTAAATATATATACATACGCCCGGACGGATGGTTCGCCGTCGGTTGACAGCACCTTGCCCGGCCTTCTGTTTCCAGATCTCAAGCCAGTGGAAGCTATCTGCATAGATAGCAGCTCAGGGATTCACGCAAACATGCATACATGATGGGCTTGTGGTGTCATCGGAATCAGGTTGGTTCTTGAAATGTTTGTAGATTGCGTTGGCTGGTCATCTGAATGACATAGTTGCAGTGGTGTGTGTGTTTCCAAAGATGAGCAGGTGCTTTAGTGTCAACGCTCACATACCCACGTACGCCCATGCGTCAAAAGCGGACAGGCAGGCAGACAGACCAACGCGCAGGCAGGCAGACAGGCAGACAGGCAGAGAGACAGACGGGCAGACTGCCAGGCAGGCAGGCATCCAGCCAGGCAGGCAGAGAGACAGACAGAGAGAGACAGACAGAGACGGAGAGAGAGAGAGAAAGAGAGAGAGAGAGAGACAGAGGGGGAGAGAGACAGAGACAAAGAGAGAGACGGAGACAAGACAGACGGACAGCCAGACAGATAGACAGACGGACATAGTTACATCGGGGGACCGGTCGTCGGATACAAATATGCTCACAGCTGTTAACGGGTTTACGCCCAGTTGCATACGCAGCTACAGACGTACAGGCAAGGCTTGAGAGGCACAGGTAGAGCAACTTAAAACAGGCGCTTCCAGTTGAAGAGGTTCCCTGGTTCGGACAGTGCCACAGTTGGCTGAGATCGAACTCCACAAAGAGATGCTTCTCACTGGACGCTCATGGGCCAAGGCCTGCAGGGAGGGAATAGTTCGAAATGTCACCGTGCTTGGGCTTCAGGCGCCAGGATTCCTATCGTGACCTGTTTTTGCGCGTAGTAGGGGATTTTGGGGGAGGCCGTCAATGAAGCAGAAGTAGGCGCTCAGAGCTAAGCAAGAAGAGTGGCTCAGGGCTGAGGGATATGCGGAACGGTGATATGTATCATCCCACGTCATTATCGAAGAATGCGTTTGCCAGGACCTGCAGAAGGAGTTCAGGGAGTTAGAGGCATCGCAGAAGACTCCAAGTGCTAGAAAGTTGGACTAGGCTAGACATCGTTTCACAAAAGGCGGAGAAGGAGCTCTCCGTGTAGCTCTAAACAAAGTGAGCAGGTTCCTGACAGAGACTGGAACCTGTCCACGCTGCTTCTGTTTCAGCGGCTCGTTGAGAAATAAGAGAGCTGCTTGATGGCGCTTAACACGATCAATGTGAACTTGTGACTCGCAGCTGCGCTGCTTCTCCCTATCGCTAAGAGTTTCAGGCTTCCAGCTCCCTTCGCTCAACTCACCGGCCCCACGTGTGTGGGGAAGTCAGCCATGTCAGGACAGATTCAGACCGGCTTCGCAGGTTCCTTCACAGCAGCGCGGCTGCGGAAAGAGCTGGAGGATGTCCCAAGATAAGCCGTCGGCAATTGTCTGTGCCCTTTTGAGAGGGAGCTGTCTTTCGCCTTCCTCTTTACACATTGGCTGTAACGCTAGACCCACAATTGGAATTGGGTCCTCTCTTGTAGCATGCCTTTTTCCAACTCAGGATCCTGTGCTTGTTTGGGGTCCTCTATTGTGGCATGTTGTTTGCCGGAAAAATGCCGGAAACATCCAGGCAAACGAACCCTTTGCAGACATGGGGCAAAAATTGGCAAACAACTTGTTTGGAACCAGGGTGTCTTGGGGCCTGCTTGTACCATTTGACTGACTCTCGCTTCTCACTTTGTACTCGGGCCATTTTGGCTCAAGTGTGAATTCCCTTGGCCCGTCGCTTACCCTCGCCCTTGGCCTTGGTCTCGGGTGTTTGTTTTCTTCCCGCAATGGATCCATGAATACCGAACTGGATGCGGAGTCTGGGAACTCCCGCAGACCCCTGAGAAGGATTGGCCCCATGTGGACACGGAGTGCCGAAGGTGGTTTCCAAGAAGTTTTCAAGGAGCCCGAAGAGTGTGACACACCCGGTGCACCAACAAGAAAGTGGTGGTAGCCCAGGGGTACTCATCCTCTACTCTGGAGGAGGATGACGACTGCAGCGCGAGGGCGGCCGTGCGTCAATTCGCGATGTACCTCGTGATGAGGTCTTTGCACCACTGCTGGAACTGGCAATGGATAATTCTCATGGCGCTTCTTCGTCTAAAATGTGGAATGCCAGGTGTGCCTTGGCTTGGGGCCTGCCAGACCCGAACCAACAACGGCTTAACGGACAATGATTTTTCCGGGTTTTGCAAATTGGTCATGGAGGCGGGACACCCGCCTCCGTGTCCCGCCTCCGGCCTTCCTCATGGAACATCCGGAGGAGCCGGCGAACACGCTGTGCCATCCCTCTAACAAACCAACTGATTGGAATGGACTTTGATGTGCTCCCCAACGGCACCCTCAATCTCCACAACCAATCAGGGACGTTGGTGGCTTACCACTGTCCTGGGCAGGGAAGCGGGATAGCGCAGGACAGATGAGGACAGATTCCCAACGGTCAGACTTGACCGTCTTGCCAAAGAAACTCTCTGTCAAAGCCAACACCGCATCTCTGGTCTTCCAAGGCTGAATTCGCACAAATAATTCAATCGCCGTTTTGTACTTGAGGACCCGAATATTCGCCAAGATCTGCGAACCAAATGGCTCGGCCCAGTAGCGCCTTGTCTGGGAACTAGTGTGTCTGTGTGTGTGTCTGCGATTGCGTTGGTGCGTCGCAGACATACCTTGGAGAAGGGCTTAAGGACCATGCCCAGGCCCCACTCCTCAACGATGGTGGTGCCAGGTCTCTACGCCGAGACAGGAGCCGCACGAACCGGAGCAGGAACAGCGTAAGAATCTGCACGAACAATCACGAACACAACTGGCAAAGTCAGGGCCATCTTTGACGCCGCAATGATTGGGGTCAGCCCCTCGGAGGATTTTCTTTGGGTCATGGTGCGCTTGCGGGCCTCACAATTGCGAGGGTTTGTCTGCAAGTGGACATCATCAGAGGAACAGCTTGGCTCCCACGTAAGCTACGCTCAATGTTGACTCTTTACGCAACTGCGACTGAAGCGCAAGCATTTTTGCTTGGAGATGATCTCGGGACCGCCGTGGCCTGACTGACGGGTGCGCTGGGTTGTAGTGACGCAGGGGCCATGTGCTGGCTGTGATTTGCCTTCGATGTGGCAGAGCAGCATGGCTCACCCTTTTCCTGACACGCCAGTGAGGCCCTGGAACTCCTGCTACTTTTCATGTTCGCAGCAGACAGTGACGAAGGAAACTCCTATGCGGCTTCCAAGCGCTCTGCGAAGAAGTGGCTGTGCTCGACCGTATTGATGGAGTTATCGGCCCAAGAGCAGCGCCAAGAGATGTCAATGTCTGGGCGGACCAGCTGACTCATTTGGACAGGGCTGAGGTTTTGACCTACAAAAGAGGATCGCCGCCATAACTTCACTCCAGCTTGTGCTCCCGGAGTTGCTGTCACAGGCGGGCAGTTGGGCAGTTCCTTCCCTTGGGCGGTTGGCTGGACGAGTGTTGCCCGAGTTGGTGCTCTACGGGCTGTCATTCCAAAGTTTTTATTCCTGTCCGGAGTCTGGGTAACCCGGACTGATGTTCTTAACCGATTTAACACGGAAACGCGGACACATGGACAGGGGTATGAAAATGCCTTACTCACTCAGTTTTGGAATGTTTGATCCACCTTCTCGGACTCGGGGAAAAGGAATATGCGCTTAGACTTGGACATCTTTTTGTGAAGTGGTCCCCAAACTGTCAAAATTGAGCTGACTTCTTTACAAAGTACGGGCAAACAGTCACGCAAAGGGGGTTGCCCACAAGAGGCCTGCTGAAAGAAATGGGCTCTTCCCAGCTAAAGTAGAATTGGCAATGCCGAAGTAAGTTCCGGGGAGTCTGACTCTGAGATTAAGACGTCGACTAAAGTAAGTACTAGCAAGCCCAAGTCCCACCCAGGATTTTGATTAAAGAGGGCCCCTCTAAACTGGTTCTATTGTTCCGGGGGGGGGAGGCGCAGTAAAGAAGGCTCAACATGAAAGAAGGGAATCGCACCAGCGCAATGTCCTGAAATTTCCCGGGATCTGGGATTGCTGAGAGGAGATGCTGGACCTCGAAGCTGGTGGTTTGAAGGCGTGTTGGAGAAGACTAGGTTCCTTCCGGGAAGAGCTGCAGCCGTGAAACCAAACAGTTTTTGAGAGGAGCTCATCAAGCCTTCTTTCACTTTTTGTGAGAGAATTCAGGAATGCACAGGACACCTCGACCAGCCATTCCCCGCACACTCATGTTTTCCGGACACAGGGGTTATAACCACGGCCACTGTTGCGTCAGTGGCAAAAGCTCGAGCCAAACATGTCGCAACCTCAAAGCGCAGCAACGCACACTCACGACCAAGCAACGCAACAGCACAAGCCGAAACGCGACATAAGGATCATTACGACGCGCATGATGTCTTGGGTCGGCATACAAGAGCACAGCTCTATAAGTGGCTTCATGCACAGATCAGAAAGACGCTCTCATGTTTTCTCGACTGGCGTACAAGGGGACGCACATCTATCTTGCTGTTTCTCATCGACACAGATGTGAAATCGTGTCACCATGTCTTTCACATGGCTCTTTCCTCTTCCCCCCCCCGGATGGCGAATCGCATCACCATGCTAAATCGCTTGGGTGGGCGGGTGGGGCAAAATTAATCAGGACGTGCGTTCACACGAGCGTGGTTGCGGTTGCTTGTTTGGTGTGCATGGCCAGGAACAGTACGCGACGGCGCTCTTAAAGTTGCTACGGCCTAGTCATAAACAGCCATTGGTGAACCAACAGCAAACTTATGACCACGGCCACTGTTGCTTCAGTGGCAAAAGCTCGAGCCAAACATGTCGCAACCTCAAAGCGCAGCAACGCACACTCACGACCAAGCAACGCAACAGCACAAGCCGAAACGCATGATGTCTTGGGTCGGCATACAAGAGCACAGCTCTATAAGTGGCTTCATGCACAGATCAGAAAGACGCTCTCATGTTTTCTCAACTGGCGTACAAGGGGATGCACATCTATCTTGCTGTTTCTCACCGACACAGATGTGAAATCGTGTCACCATGTCTTTGCCATGGCTCTTTCCTCTTCCCCCCCCCCTCCGGATTTCGAATCGCATCACCATGCTAAATCGCCTGGGTGGGCGGGTGGGGCAAAATTAATCAGGACGTGCGTTCACACGAGCGTGGTTGCGGTTGCTTGTTTGGTGCGCATTGCAACACTTGGGTGGAACAGTACGCGATGGCGCTCTTAAAGTTGCTGCGGCCTAGTGACCATGGCCACTGTTGCATCAGTGGCAAAAGCTCGAGCCAAACATGTCGCAACCTCGAAGCGCAGCAACGCGCACTCACGAACAAGCAATGCAACAGCGCAAGCCGAAACGCGACATAAGGGTCGTAACGACGCACATGATGTCTTGGGTCGGCGTACAAGAGCGCAGCTCTATAAGTGGCTTCACACACAGATCACGTCTGAAAGACGCTCTCGCATCAATCTTAGCTTTTTGAAGTGCTAAAAGCATCTGTTTCGCTTTTTGAATAAGTGTCTGAGTTGCTCGCAAAGTACACTTGTTCAATACCGAAGCCTGTTTGCGTCGTACACCCCGAAGAAATCGAACAACGAGTCCGACAGCTTGGTCGGCCCCTTTATCGACACTCCTGACAGTCTTTTTAGCTGGGCTTCCAACCTCTCGGCCCTCTCCGCAACTGCCACTCCTTGAACCCGAATCTTCACCTGATTCAAGTTGTTGCTTGAGCTTGGCTGCCACGATTCCATAGCCCTCGCTGCGGAGGCGCCTCAAACAAACCATCTGACCTAGGCTTGGTTCTCTCACTTTGACAAAGCCAGCTTTGGAGTCACCAGGTACGTACGCAGAACAAAAAGCAAACTGAGCGAGAGTCTTGAGTCCAGATTGCACAAGCTTTTCATGCTCGGCCTCCTCCAAGCCAATGACCAAACATCTGGCCTTGAACACAGCCTCGCTCTCTGCGTAGCTTGCCATGTCGCCGCGTGCGCAACCCTTGCTTTGAGCACACACATGACAAGCTCAAACGCGCTCAAGCT